GTCGAAATGCCCTGGAGGGGAAAGAGGGGACACTTTGTTCAAAAGGATGAGGCCCCCACCAAAAGGGAAAACTGATTAAACTGGCGGACACCACCTAACGTTTTAGGAACTTCCTCATCCCGCTCTTTAACAGTATCACTTCTCCTGCAAGATTTTGCCCAATTTGCCACCGAATCTGCACTATTCCTGACCTCATTAGACCCAACAGTTTTAAGCACAAACCATAAATATCCTAGGGTCTTCATGCTGTGGACATGCTGCCAATACCTTACTAAAATAATTTCTTTTTTTATGGTGTGTTCCAACTGTACCATTCTCCACAAACACCTCCACAAACACCTCCAATGACACAATAAAGACTCATGATGGTGGTAACATTGGCATAGATGCAAAAATTCATACATTTTTGAGAGACCCATCTGTGCTTAGTCTTCTCTTAATGAGGGAAGAGTAATATACCCCCTGCCCTATATATATCTCCACACTTCACTGGTGGTAAATAACAAACAGTAATAATTCTGATTTCACTATCTGAAAACACCACAAGAAAATTACTGTAAATCAAAACTCTGCCCACTTAAAACTTAAAGCTTAAATACGAACGGGGCTGAAATGTTTAATCAATTAATTAATTCCCTCTAATCAAACATGGCTGCGGATTAATATTGACTTAGTCTTTCAGTACTTTATGAATGCTCGGGTCAATCGTTACAACCTTAAAGTCAACACTACTATAAATATTTTATCAGTTTGAGCAAAATGTATTACATGTTTCGTTGGTAAGTTTTATTCTAAATACAACGTCTCTCTGCAAAAATATTTTTCTTAGTTTGCTCTGTAGATAAAACATGTATCGTTAAAGTTTACTAAAATATCCAATTAGTTTCTGTACAATAAATACCAGTATTCCTTGTTCACCTTCAGTGCTTGCCTGAGGTCATTACTCTCTAGCCTCAAGGGTTTGCTTTAGATCAACTTTGGAGTCTAAGCAATAAAAGTTGCTATGCCCCGCATTAAAAACAAATACAAAAACAGTGCATTCTAACACTGTTCTACCATGTATGTCAATGTTCACTTGACATTTTACGGTACATACAATCTATATAATTCCTCTAAAACTTGTCAGGGCTTACCGTCAGAAGGTGTAGTCGTACGTGTGTATGTGAGACAGATCGCTGTGATAGTTATTTATATTGTTATTGCCCTTTGTTCACGTTTTGAAATTTTCCAGTCAGCAACAACTATCTCCAACATTAAACGCTGGATGCCGTACATGTCTGTGTACCACAGCTATTTATGCTTAAATACAGGTTTTCTACTATTTTGTATTTCACACTCAGTAAAGATTACTAGTTTGACGAATCCCTCACTATGTTTCGCCAAAACGTCCACCAACTATGTTATTGTTTGAAAAGGATACATGATTTATTTTCGTCTGCTGACCTACATAGTACAGTCGAGAAAGTTGTGTCCATGTGACCACTATAGGCTTCCTTCCCCAAAGCACAGGGTGATACTATTTACATCAAATGTAATATATTTACAGTTTCAAATGTAACTGACTCAATAACCTTTGTTGAGGTCATTGTCATTATCACTCGATAATGACAGTCATTCTCGTGCGGTTATACCTCGTGCGCGTAGTGATACATACATCGTGTACATGTGTGTACGTTAACAACCCGTGGGTTTCCATTGCTATTTTCGGTCGTAAACAGAAGTACCGGGGACACGAGATTTATAAACAAATGATAAATCTCCGAATGAAAACCACATGTAAAATTTAAAATGATACCATTTCTCATGTAATAAAATTTAGCAAATACGTAACTTGTTTTGTTGGGTCACCCGAGGCTGACGCGAGTGACGGTAACATGGCGATTGTTCCTCGTGGGGACTTTGAATCTAGCACAATCGCGCGTTCCACACAAAGTAATTCCGACATTGACGGGGGTCCTAAACAAACTTTCATCTCAAATGCGTCGGTTTTGTCTTCAGTCCAATAATTTGACAAATTCATCGTTCACAAGCTACTCCTTCAACCATAATATCAACTAACAATGAATAAACTCCGGCGAAACGTGGCGCGAAGCGTAACCGTATCACACATCGTGCTTGAATTGAACATTTGTAATCCTTCCGCGGAAAATAGTCCGGTTAAAAGAACGCGATTTAAGAAAAAGTAGTTATCACCGGATAACCTAGCCTAAATAGAAAGTTGATCCTTATATTTAACGTTCAATCAATTTACCCGAGTTCCATTGTAGTTATCACCCGATAACCTAAACTAAATAAAAAGATTTAAGTCAGTGTAACTGTGAAAGGTCAAAGATAACAGAAAATAATTGTTTGGATACATTATAATAGTCGAATGTAAAGAAAAGTTCTACCTTAAGAAATCGTCGATGTGTCGTTACGGGTTGTTAGATGTTCATTAGACTGTCTGCCGATGTGTCGTTACGGGTTGTTAGATGTTCATTAGACTGTCTGCCGATGTGTCGTTACGGGTTGTTAGATGTTCATTAGACTGTCTGCCGATGTGTCGTTACGGGTTGTTAGATGTTCATTAGACTGTCTGCCGATGTGTCGTTACGGGTTGTTAGATGTTCATTAGACTGTCTGCCGATGTGTCGTTACGGGTTGTTAGATGTTCATTAGACTGTCTGCCGATGTGTCGTTACGGGTTGTTAGATGTTCATTAGACTGTCTGCCGATGTGTCGTTACGGGTTGTTAGATGTTCATTAGACTGTCTGCCGATGTGTCGTTACGGGTTGTTAGATGTTCATTAGACTGTCTGCCGATGTGTCGTTACGGGTTGTTAGATGTTCATTAGACTGTCTGCCGATGTGTCGTTACGGGTTGTTAGATGTTCATTAGACTGTCTGCCGATGTGTCGTTACGGGTTGTTAGATGTTCATTAGACTGTCTGCCGATGTGTCGTTACGGGTTGTTAGATGTTCATTAGACTGTCTGCCGATGTGTCGTTACGGGTTGTTAGATGTTCATTAGACTGTCTGCCGATGTGTCGTTACGGGTTGTTAGATGTTCATTAGACTGTCTGCCGATGTGTCGTTACGGGTTGTTAGATGTTCATTAGACTGTCTGCCGATGTGTCGTTACGGGTTGTTAGATGTTCATTAGACTGTCTGCCGATGTGTCGTTACGGGTTGTTAGATGTTCATTAGACTGTCTGCCGATGTGTCGTTACGGGTTGTTAGATGTTCATTAGACTGTCTGCCGATGTGTCGTTACGGGTTGTTAGATGTTCATTAGACTGTCTGCCGATGTGTCGTTACGGGTTGTTAGATGTTCATTAGACTGTCTGCCGATGTGTCGTTACGGGTTGTTAGATGTTCATTAGACTGTCTGCCGATGTGTCGTTACGGGTTGTTAGATGTTCATTAGACTGTCTGCCGATGTGTCGTTACGGGTTGTTAGATGTTCATTAGACTGTCTGCCGATGTGTCGTTACGGGTTGTTAGATGTTCATTAGACTGTCTGCCGATGTGTCGTTACGGGTTGTTAGATGTTCATTAGACTGTCTGCCGATGTGTCGTTACGGGTTGTTAGATGTTCATTAGACTGTCTGCCGATGTGTCGTTACGGGTTGTTAGATGTTCATTAGACTGTCTGCCGATGTGTCGTTACGGGTTGTTAGATGTTCATTAGACTGTCTGCCGATGTGTCGTTACGGGTTGTTAGATGTTCATTAGACTGTCTGCCGATGTGTCGTTACGGGTTGTTAGATGTTCATTAGACTGTCTGCCGATGTGTCGTTACGGGTTGTTAGATGTTCATTAGACTGTCTGCCGATGTGTCGTTACGGGTTGTTAGATGTTCATTAGACTGTCTGCCGATGTGTCGTTACGGGTTGTTAGATGTTCATTAGACTGTCTGCCGATGTGTCGTTACGGGTTGTTAGATGTTCATTAGACTGTCTGCCGATGTGTCGTTACGGGTTGTTAGATGTTCATTAGACTGTCTGCCGATGTGTCGTTACGGGTTGTTAGATGTTCATTAGACTGTCTGCCGATGTGTCGTTACGGGTTGTTAGATGTTCATTAGACTGTCTGCCGATGTGTCGTTACGGGTTGTTAGATGTTCATTAGACTGTCTGCCGATGTGTCGTTACGGGTTGTTAGATGTTCATTAGACTGTCTGCCGATGTGTCGTTACGGGTTGTTAGATGTTCATTAGACTGTCTGCCGATGTGTCGTTACGGGTTGTTAGATGTTCATTAGACTGTCTGCCGATGTGTCGTTACGGGTTGTTAGATGTTCATTAGACTGTCTGCCGATGTGTCGTTACGGGTTGTTAGATGTTCATTAGACTGTCTGCCGATGTGTCGTTACGGGTTGTTAGATGTTCATTAGACTGTCTGCCGATGTGTCGTTACGGGTTGTTAGATGTTCATTAGACTGTCTGCCGATGTTTCGTTACGGGTTGTTAGATGTTCATTAGACTGTCTGCCGATGTATGTTACGGGTTGTTAGATGTTCATTAGACTGTCTGCCTATGTGTCGTTACGGGTTGTTAGGTGTTCATTAGACTGTCTGCCTATGTGTCGTTACGGGTTGTTAGGTGTTCATTAGACTGTCTACCGATGTATGTTACGGGGTCACTTTTTCCCCCATCAAGGTGATAATTGAAAACCAGCGGAACTCAATTTTCCATGTAGTTTAATCTAATCCGACACCCCAATTATATAACATGAGTAACGAAAATGTTAGGTTTGGGATACTCAAAATTAGGATTAGGTAGGATTTATTAAGTTAGGTACAAATTGTTTATTTTTAATAGTTTTCCTAAAGAACATACTGATTGCTAGCAGACTTTTTGCTTATTATACAATAAAGTGTATATCATCTCGCTGCAGCTATTCGCCTAGACCACGTGGACGTACGTGGGTACACTGCGTGGTCCCTGATGGATAATTTTGAGTGGTCTATGGGATACTCGGAGAGATTTGGTCTCCACTACGTCGACTTCACTGACCCAGCGCGAGACCGGATACCTAAAGACTCGGCAAAATACTATCGACAACTCATCGAAAATAATGGATTTACTCCGCCCACTCTGTCAGGACGCGGACTACTGATACAGGAAAAGGAATTCATGTACGGTACATTTCCAGAAGGTTTTGCCTGGAGCGCAGCAACCGCATCTTACCAGATCGAGGGCGGCTGGAAAGCAAATGGTAAAATATGAAGATTAGAATATAATATATATATCATGTTGATTCCACTTTCTAACAGCAAACAAAAGAAAATCAAAATGAACCTTGGAAATATCTCTGATTTTACATTCAATTGATCTGTAGTGATACATATAAAAATCTTTTCCACGCTATTTTCATTATGAATATTTTGTTTTATTTTCATTTAATGTACGCCTGTAATATGATTATTGTAAAGCGTTATCTGGCTGGCTGGCTGTCAGCAATAATTTGTTAGCATCATAACTCATTTGCTTTTTGTGTCGCCTGCGAAAAGCTGGTGACACAAAGGTATTGCTTTGTCGGCGTCGGCGGCGTCGTCGGCGTCGTCGTCCGAACAGAGGTTTTCGTGCGATAACTTGAGTTTCCTTGGGCCGATCAAACTCAAACTTCATGCAGCGCTTCCTTACCAAAAGTGCTTGCTTGGGATTGCTTTTCAGGTCCGAAGGTCAAAGGTCAAGGTCACTGTTACTATAAATAGAAAATTTGTTTTAGTGCGATAACTTTAGTTTCCTTGGGCCGATCAAACTCAAACTTCATGCAGTGCTTTCTTACCAAAAGTGCTTGCTTGGGATTGCTTTTCAGGTTCGAAGGTCAAAGGTCAAGGGAACTTTTATTATAAATAGAAACTTCACTAAAACTGTATACTGGACGGCTTCGATCTACCACTTGACCCACCGTGTATACCTCTGAAATGACGTCTTACTCCAAATGTTATTGACAACACTAGCTGTTTAACATCATAATCCACAAGTTTATTCATTTATTTATGGGAAACCATCCGACAAATCATACAAATTAAACTTGGAATTGAGACAATGAGTATCCATAGCAAGTTCCTTAAAACTCAGAGTATTCTTTCCAGAATAACAGATTATATAACAAAATAATGCCATCCAAAAACATAATCTATGATTATTGCTTACTTTTAACATTATTTCTTGAAATGAAAAGTGTATCTATTTCTTCGTAATATCCCAGCTTCCTGCGCAGGCGACACATCCACTTCCGTGGAATTCTTGTTCACTTACGTTTACTAAATTATTTATATTCTATGACGTGGATAAGCGCGAAGTTTCGCTTACTGTCATTCTGTCTGACGCCCAATAATGGTGAGAGTTATAGTCTAAGTTAGTTCCATCATACCTCCTTGTTTCATATACATTTAGCACACGTGCCATTCCTGGGTAAAAAGAGGTTGCATAATGAAATGGTTCTCGCACCTCTCAGAATTCTTTCGTTTTTAAATTATTTCGGAATACGGGGAAAAGAAGACAATTACCATATAATTGTTTTTAAGGTGAAATAAAACCTCCTTGTCTCATTCATTTTCAACACGCCAAGCAGATAATTCAACGTTCCTCAGTAGTATATAAATGTTTTTTTCCTTGTAACACTTAAATATTTTTTATACATTTTGTTACATGGTAAAATTCAATGTGCAACAATATCATGTACTGTTCTTGTTGGGTAATGTACATGTCATAAGATGGGCGTATAGTTATGTCATGTAATGGGCGTATATGTCATGTGATAGGCGTATATGTCATGTAATGGGCGTATATGTCATGTGATGGGCGTACATATCATGCAACAGGCGTATATGTCATGTGATAGGCGTACATGTCATGTAATGGACGTATGCAATGTGCGTATATGTCATGTGATAGGCGTACATGTCATTTAATGAGCGTACATGTCATGTGATGGGCGTACATGTCATCTAACGGGAGTACATATCATATTATGGGCGTACATGTGATGTAATTGGCGTATATGTCATGCAATGGGCGTATATGCCATGTGATAGGCTTAAATGTCATGTGATAGCGGTAAATGTCATGTGATGGGCATGTTATGTGATGGGCGTACACTCAATGTAATGGGTGTACATGTCATGTTATGGGCGTATATCTCATATAATGAGCGCATATATTATGTGTGATGGGCGTACATGTCATGCAACAGGCGTATATGTAATGCGATAGGCGTACATGTCATGTAATGGACGTATGCAATGTGCGTATATGTCATGTGATAGGCGTACATGTCATGTAATGAGCGTACATGTCATGTGATGGGCGTACATGTCATCCAACGGGAGTACATATCATATTATGAGCGTACATGTGATGTAATTGGCGTATATGTCATGCAATGGGCGTATATGCCATGTGATAGGCTTAAATGTCATGTGATAGGCGTAAATGTCATGTTATGGGCATGTTATGTGATGGACGTACACTCAATGTTATGGGTGTACATGTCATGTTATGGGCGCATATCTCATATAATGGGCGCATATATTATGTGTGATGGGCGTACATGTCATGCAACAGGCGTATATGCCATGTGATAGGCGTACATGTCATGTTAGGGCGTATGCAATGGGCGTATATGGCATGTGATAGGCGTACATGTCATGCAATGAGCGTATATGTCATGCAATGGGCGTATGTGCCATATGATAGGCGTAAATGTCATGTGATAGGCGTAAATGTCATGTGATGGGCATGTTTTGTGATGGGCGTACATTCAATGTAAAAGGTGTACGTGTATACTGTTCTGTCTTAGTATAAAAGGTGTACGTGTATACTGTTCTGTCTCACTGTAATAGGTGTACGTGTATACTGTTTTGTCTCACTGTAATAGGTGTACGTGTATACTGTTCTGTCTCACTGTAATAGGTGTACGTGTATACTGTTCTGTCTCACTGTAATAGGTGTACGTGTATACTGTTCTGTCTCACTGTAATAGGTGTACGTGTATACTGTTCTGTCTCACTGTAATAGGTGTACGTGTATACTGTTCTGTCTCACTGTAATAGGTGTACGTGTATACTGTTCTGTCTCACTGTAATAGGTGTACGTGTATACTGTTCTGTCTCACTGTAATAGGTGTACGTGTATACTGTTCTGTCTCACTGTAATAGGTGTACGTGTATACTGTTCTGTCTCACTGTAATAGGTGTACGTGTATACTGTTCTGTCTCACTGTAATAGGTGTACGTGTATACTGTTCTGTCTCACTGTAATAGGTGTACGTGTATACTGTTCTGTCTCACTGTAATAGGTGTACGTGTATACTGTTCTGTCTCACTGTAATAGGTGTACGTGTATACTGTTCTGTCTCACTGTAATAGGTGTACGTGTATACTGTTCTGTCTCACTGTAATAGGTGTACGTGTATACTGTTCTGTCTCACTGTAATAGGTGTACGTGTATACTGTTCTGTCTCACTGTAATAGGTGTACGTGTATACTGTTCTGTCTCACTGTAATAGGTGTACGTGTATACTGTTCTGTCTCACTGTAATAGGTGTACGTGTATACTGTTCTGTCTCACTGTAATAGGTGTACGTGTATACTGTTCTGTCTCACTGTAATAGGTGTACGTGTATACTGTTCTGTCTCACTGTAATAGGTGTACGTGTATACTGTTCTGTCTCACTGTAATAGGTGTACGTGTATACTGTTCTGTCTCACTGTAATAGGTGTACGTGTATACTGTTCTGTCTCACTGTAATAGGTGTACGTGTATACTGTTCTGTCTCACTGTAATAGGTGTACGTGTATACTGTTCTGTCTCACTGTAATAGGTGTACGTGTATACTGTTCTGTCTCACTGTAATAGGTGTACGTGTATACTGTTCTGTCTCACTGTAATAGGTGTACGTGTATACTGTTCTGTCTCACTGTAATAGGTGTACGTGTATACTGTTCTGTCTCACTGTAATAGGTGTACGTGTATACTGTTCTGTCTCACTGTAATAGGTGTACGTGTATACTGTTCTGTCTCACTGTAATAGGTGTACGTGTATACTGTTCTGTCTCACTGTAATAGGTGTACGTGTATACTGTTCTGTCTCACTGTAATAGGTGTACGTGTATACTGTTCTGTCTCACTGTGCGCTACTCTTGTAAAAGCATATCAAAGGTTGTATACCTCTGCTCCTACCATTCGAGGAAAATATAACACAAAATATACATTATGCCCCTCCGATTACTTATGTCCACAACCACATATAGCTTTTGTCATATTCTGTTATATAAAAATTGCCTTGTCTAATGTTGATGTACATGGTGCTAGTTTGATACTGAAATGTAACAGTAAACAGTCAGGCAGTGGCCTTGTTCTGTAAACTATGATGGGATATTAGTTTTCTCAAATATCATAGAGTCTCATACAGAAAGTGTCTGCCAGTTTTCACAATTTTTCTAGTTTACTATAGCTACAACTTGTATTTTGAAAAGTTGCCTTTGTTTTTGTGGTTAAAATGTAGAAAATTAAAACTGGCAAGTATATAACCAGAGTCGGATCAAGGATTTAATGCTAGAAGGGATACACATTTTGACAAATATTACCTTTTTTCAGAGGGAACGTGTATAAGACGCCCTTTCCCCATCCATTCTCTCTTGCATTTTATGACAAATCTTGCAGGTAAAGGACCGAGTATCTGGGACACGTTTTCTCATCAAGGTCACGTGGACAATAATGACACGGGCGATGTGGCGTGTAACAGTTATCACAAATACATGGACGACGTCCAGCTTCTCAAGGATATTAAGGTATATGTTTCTTCTCTATAATTATCTTCGATGACCTTTTTGCAAACCTGTTCAAGGCAAATGTTATAGGAGGAATTTTAAATTCAGAAAACAGAAATCTCAAGTACAAAATCCTCCACTAGTAGAGCTAGCTTACAATGACAACGGACGAGAATGACACCTTATATAATTAATTTTATAAGGAACAAAATATTCAGTTTTTATCTAAATCCAAGTATGAGGAATTAGCGTGTAGGACGGTTAACAAATTCAAGGCAGACCTTTATACTAAGCTTTACCTTAATAACCTTTATTTTAAGGACATTTACAAATAATATGGCAAACAGAAACAATTAAGATACTTTTAAGGTGATCGTGTTTAAGAATTTCATATTAATGTTCAATTATGACAGATAATTTCAACAGGAAAAATGGACGCATTATTTTCAACCGAGATGTGATATTAAAGAATGTGATGAAATGGTATTCACGTGATTTCTGTATTAAATTTATCTCATGCAGTGCCGTTGTAGATCAACATTTTACAACATTTTGTTCATGCTACACAGGTGACACACTATCGGTTCTCCTTGTCATGGCCCCGGATATTACCGGACGGCACGACACGCTATGTAAACCAGGCAGGGGTGGATTATTACAACCAGCTGATAGACGCCCTGTTGGACGCTGGGATCACACCCATGGTCACACTGTACCACTGGGACCTACCTCAGGCTCTACAGGACAGAGGTGGCGGCTGGCTCAACGCCTCAATAGCTGACGTCTTTGCCGACTACACCAGACTTGCCTTCCAGACATTCGGGGACAGGGTAATACACATTATTGTACTTTATATTGACGAACTATAGAACATTACATTTTTAAATGGTTTTAATTTTTCAATTGCCGTTGAAAAATTGGTTCGTTAGAGCACTTTTTATGTTCACATTATTATGCAATTATGTTTCCCATTATACCGATACTATACACTTCACCTGCTATTAGATGGAGAAGCAGGACAAACTATTCACAGTCCATGACTTGCCTTCGGAAACTTTGGAGACAGAGTAAATGAAATCAGAATATTTGGTACTTTTTGAAAATTTAAATAGGGACTATTTTACATGTTTTAATATAATTCCAAGTCAGAACATTTACATATGTGTAATGAACTGTTTTCAGATATTATTAGTTACTGTATCTCTGGGTTAGGAGGAGTCTACGGGCTCATAGGCTCCGTTTGTTTTTTATAGACCCCGAGCCGAAGGCGAGTGGTCTATAAAAAACAAAGGGGTCTATGAGCCAGTAGACCCCTCCTAACCCTTAAATAACGAATTTTTCACCCTGACAATCTTTTATTACTTTTTTCTGCAAAGTTATAAGTCACTTTGTGAGTTAAGAGTTGTACTTGACTGCTACCAAAATAGCCCCTACTGGACATCTTTTCGGCAATATTTCGGAAAAAACACTATCATCTTTGTAATAAGCACCATAGAGGCCCCCACATTGCCTGTTTTGTTGAATTTGCTGTCAATTAAGTAGGCTATTTCATCCCGAGAAGAATTGGCACACATCGCACGCTTGTGTGTGTGTGTCGGACGCCATCTTTGTTGTTATGAAGAGAGATTTTAGTTTGAGTGATCTCCCCTCGCACGTGCTTTTATAAACCCCGGCAGAGCGGGGTCTATAGAAATAAAATAAAAAACGGCAAGAAATCCAATCAGAAAGAGTGTTATAAATTAGAAGGGTGACAATAGTTAATACTAGACAATATGACTATCATTTATTACGAAAACATATATCGGATACGCTCTTTCAATGCCGTTTTGTAATACAGTTTATATGTGTATTGCCTTTGAAAAAAACCAATTACATGAATACCATTATTATCTGTGATTTATAACAGGTAAAGACTTGGATCACCCTGAATGAGCCATGGGTCGTGGCAGTCAAAGGCTACGGCTACGGAACCATGGCCCCGGGAATTGTAAGCCCCGGGGACGGCGTGTACATCGCTGCCCATAATCTCATCCGGGCACACGGGAAGGCATACAGAGTCTATCAAAATGAGTTTAGTCAGGTCCAAAACGGTATGTATATAAACTGAAATCGGAATTCCCCTTGTATTTAAATTTCGACTTTCATTTCACAAAATTTTGATCATAATGTACATCTTTTAATAATGTGTTCTATATCTGTGTACCTGTGTATAGAGACCAATTGCCAGTAACAACCATATATTTGTTTTTGATAGCAATTTAATTATCAAGATCACCTGTTCGTAAAAACAACAGTCTTATAAAGACTACGTTCCAATATATAACTACCATAACAATTATGTTTTCAATGCCGTTATTACTCCCTTATCTACGTTGTCCTGCTAGACGGGTTTGTATGTTTACAGTTATAACAATATATTTACATTTGCATGGCATTGTCACTATATAGCCTCTTTGAAAGCTGTGTCGTTGATGGGACTTTAATTACCATCCAGCACGAGACACAATTCTTAGCGTGTTAAAACAACACTGACCGGAACTACAATATCCAATGTAAATAAACATGACGGCTGCTAAAATGTCGCTGGGCATTGTGAGACTTGACAATGTCATTGTAAATTTATGAACAAAAGAATAAAGTAAATAAAAAATACTTTTATTACAACAAAAATAAGACCAAGGTCTGCAATATCGTACAAAATGCACATTGGATGAAATCACCAATGCCGGTAATGGAAACAAGTTTAACACTCATGTAATTTATCAGAAATATCGTCTGTTACACTGCACTGATCAACAGGGGTTCGTTACAAATGTCTGAAATACACATATTCTATAGACCTACTGACACATATGTTACAGACCTACTGATATGAGTCACAGCACACTTAAACATTTCAGACATTTGTAACAAACCCCTGTGCTCCGTCGCAAGATCACTCACTTCAAACGATATCAGTTTCACGCGTCTCGCAGCCACGGTTTCCCCAGTGTCAAATAACGAGTCTGTTATAGAATCTACCGACTGTAGTCAGATTCCCATACAATCAACAAATAAATTCACGTCTGGATTCTTCACAAAATGAGCAAAGAGAAACTTTCGAATTAACTTCCAACAATAACTCCCTCGTGGAGGTCAAGGTCGGATTCACGGTGTTCACTGTATTTATCAATGCGCGAAATTTGTTCCGGGGAAAAATCGAAACAATTTCAAATCTAACTTTCAGCTCAGAGTTCTATTGATAAACTTAAATCACCCTATAGACATATCATACCCAATTGTATTGATACTGAATTGTGGAATAACATTGAAGTGTTTGTTAAAATTTCAAAGTATTACTTTGTTTGCCAATCAGCACGCGACAATACGCTGTTCAAATTATTGAACGAAATTGTCTGGACTGTCGATAAGGCGGGCATTTTAAATTTTAAATATAAATTATAAGTTAAAAAAAGAAATATGAGGAAGAGAAAACGTAAATATAAGTATTGAACTGTTTTGTATGGTATTTGTGATCTATTTGAATGACACAGCTTTGCAAGCAAACAACTCATAATGCGCTAGCGCTCATTATGTTTTTTTGCTTGCAAAGATGTGTCATTCAAATAGATCATAAATACCATACAAAAACAGTTCAATGCTTAATTAACTGTTCTGCTACGAATCCACATTCACAATGCTTTTATTTCACGCCACATTGTTTACTACTGTTAGGAGGCACGGTAGTCTAGTGGTAGGACGCCGGGCTCGTGACCGAAGGGTTGCGGGTTCGAGTGACGGCACGGCACTGTGTTATATCTTTGAGCAAGAAACGTTACTCCGCTTGTTCCAGTCTACTTAGCTGTAAACGAGTACGTGGTTGGGCAGTGTTAGACTGTAGAATGCTAGCTGTGAGCGCCGAAATGGCAGCACCGGCTGTATGCTCCCCAGGGAGTTGAAAAAGATATTGGCTAGTTACAAAGGCCCAATAACCACGGACAATAATTTGTAAACCGCTTTGAGACGACCTACAAACTAGGTTGTGATAAAGCGGTATATAAGAACCTTAAACTATTATTAATTATTATTAAATTTCTATTAACATAATGGCCGAATGTTTTCTGAAGAAATTCAGAACTCCTAAATTGTGTTTTCACCATGAATGATTGTTGTTATGTGCCTGATCAATACAACTTATTGGCACACATTCAGTTACAACGCTTCCACTCACATTCCTTGTTTAAACATTTTACTGTTTTCAATTATTAAAATACATTACTTCTACTTTCATTTTACCCAGATGCCAAGTCATAGACCTTTTTTTTTAAATTTTGAATCAGCTTTTTTAGGGAACAAAGTAGTAGTTACCATATGGTGATACATATGTTGAAATGTCAGATCGGGAACAAAACTATATACATGCAGATATTATGAAAAACTAGTTTTATTAACACCTGTACAAGTCGATCTGTTTTCCTAGCGGGGTCTGTTTTACCTTAGGTCAACAGGCACTCTGGTAGCAGTGTACAGTAGAAATGGCCCGACTCTGATAAACAAAGCACATGTTGAGGAAATGTAATCACAGCGGATTTACCCTACACAACACATGTATACATGTATATATATTTGTAAACTGCATTACATTTACAATACATATAAAGTACTGAGAAGTGTATAAACCTCTTTTTTCTATGTATTTCACTTGTGTGAAAACCATGGTAACCACATCAAAAATTACCAAAAAATGCCAAAAATTGCTAATTTTGACCCAAAATTTTACCCCTGCAAATAGTTTTTTTTCCTAAGTTCTGTCTGAAATTATAGATTACCTACCTGGTTGCAGAATTATTTGGGTCCCAGTAAAGTTGTAAAACTTGATATTTTGTAAATTTTCGTCGTGTGTTGTTGTCAAAATTTTACCTCCTGTAAAGTTAGCTTTACATGTGTAGGCACCCTTTAGGATTATGGCCAAAATTTTATTCTCGAACCAAAAAAATCTTCTCTTTTTTTTACAAATGTGAAGCTCACATAGCCCACTTCATCATGCTTATACCAATTTTAGTACAGTTTTATTTTTATATATTTTTTACATATCATTATACATGGGTTAGCCATTTAACAAAAATATCACCCATGACCACAACCCTCAGCTGTATACTGCTACCTCTCTGTTGAACAACATCGTTTACGTTTATAACAAAGAAAACCGAGTTTACGTTTCCATTACCGTATTGTATTTCCAGGCAGTGTAGGAATAACATGGAACTGCCACTGGACCGTCCCCAAGTCGAGAGAAAGGGAAGCGGACCTAATCGCCTCAGAGCGCGCTCTCCACTTCTACCTGGGCTGGTTCGGTCATCCTATCATAATTAATGGCGATTATCCAGCTGTTATGAAATGGCAGATCGGGAACAAAAGTGAAGAACAGAATCTGAATAACAGCAGACTGCCGGAGTTTACGTCACAAGAAATAGAATATTTAAACGGTAAGAAATCAAAATGTTCAGCTTGTGACACAGGAGGAGTGCCAATCTTTGCCTTCGGGTGGCCATCACCTTGGAAGGCTGATATGGGCCGGCACAAACATATCTTGGTGAAACAAATGTCCGGCAGGAACGCATCAAGGCTTAATATATCTCTATATTATTTAAATGATGACTGTTTAGGAATTGAAATACATAATATATACTTACACATTAAGTTATATTGCTAGAATTTGTTTCACATGTGAAGTATAATACTGTCCGCTTCTGTTAACACAGATCGCGGACAGGTAAAATCATTAATTTTGTAATCAGATTTCGTGTTCAATTCAGTTTCAAAGGATTGCATTTCTATGCTTACCGAAACAAATGCCGGGCAGATTTATATAACGTCACGATACCTTTATGCCGGACATGCTTTTCTCCAGAAAAACTGCCAGGCAAATTTATATTTTACTATACGTTTTTACCTGCACTTGTCGGCCACCGTGATCACAAATAAGTTTTTTGTTTGTGCATGTATACCTTAGAGATATGCCATCATGCTTATACATGAAACTAAGGCCATTTGGTGTGTATAAGAGGACGGTAATACATATACATATATTATGTGTGTGTCAGGGGGTGGTTATACATACACATATATGATGTGTGTGTCAGGGGTTGGTAATACATATCAATATATATATTAAGTGTGTGTGTCAGGGGGTGTTTATACATATAAAAATATAATATGTGTGTGTGTGTCAGGGGGTGGTTATACATATAAATATATTGTATATGTGTGTGTGTCAGGGGGTGGTTATACATATAAATATATAATATGTGTGTGTGTCAGGGGGTGGTTACACATATAAATATATGATGTGTGTGTCAGGGGCTGGTTATACATATACATATATGATGTGTGTGTCAGGGGGTGGTTATACATATAAATATATTTAATTTGTGTGTGTGTCAGGGGGTGGTTAAATATATAAATATATAATATGTGTGTGTGTCAGGGGGTGGTTAAATATATAAATATATAATATGTGTGTGTGTGTCAGGGGGTGGATATACATATACATTTACAATGTGTGTGTGTGTGTGTGTGTGTCAGGGGGAGGTTATACATATAAATATATATTATGTGTGTGTGTCAGGGGGTGGTTAAATATATAAATATATAATATGTGTGTGTGTCAGGGGGTGGGTATACATATACATATATGATGTGTGTGTGTGTGTGTCAGGGGGGGGTTATATATATATATATATGTTGTGTGTGTGTGGGGGTGGTTTTATATATATATATATATAGTGTGTGTGTGTGTGTGTGTGTGAGGGGGGGTTTATATATATATATATACAGTGTGTGTGTGTGTGTGTGTGTGGGGGTGGTTTTATATATATATATATATAGTGTGTGTGTGTGTGTGTGTGGGGGGGGGTGTATATATATATATATACAGTGTGTGTGTGTGTGTGTGTGTGAGGGGGTGGATATACATATACATTTACAATGTGTGTGTGTGTGTGTGTGTGTATGTGTGTGTGTCAGGGGATGGTTATACATATAAATATATATAATGTGTGTGTTTCAGGGAGTGGTTATACATATAAATATATATAATGTGTGTGTCAGGGGATGGTAATACATATAAATATAGTAGGTGTGTGTCAGGAGATGGTAATTCATATAAATATATATTATGTGTGTATGTCAGGGGATGGTAATACATATACATATATGATGTGTGGGTCGTGGGTTGGTTATACATATAAATATAAATTATGAGTGTGTGTCAGGGGGTGGTTATATATATAAATATATGATGTGTGTGTGAGGGGGTGGTTATACATATACATATATGATGAGTGTGTCAGGGGGTGGTTATACATAGAAATATATAATATGTGTGTGTGTGTCAGGGGGTGGTAATACATATACATATATATTATGTGTGTGTCAGGGGTTGGTTATACATATAAATATAAATTATGTGTGTGTGTCAGGGGGTGGTTATACATATATATATATTGTATGTGTGTGTGTGTCAGGGGATGGTAATACATATAAATATATTAGGTGTGTGTCAGGAGATGGTAATTCATATAAATATATATTATGTGTGTATGTCAGGGGATGGTAATACATATAAATATATATAATGTGTGTGTCAGGGGATGGTAATACATGTAAATAAAAATTAGTTGTTAGTGTCAGGGAATGATGATACACATAAATATATTAGGTGTGTGTCAGGGGTGGTTATACATATAAATATATATATATAGGGTGCGTAAGGGGTTGGTAATTCATATAATATATATTAGGTGTGTATTAAGAGTTGGTAATTCATATAAATATATCAGGTGTGTGTCAGAAGATGGTAATTCATATAAATATATACAATAGATTTGGTGCGTGTGTATTAGGGGGTGGTTATACATATAAATACATAGTATGTGTGTGTGTCAGGCGATGGTATTACATATAAATATATAGTATGTGTGTGTGTGTGTCAGGGGATGGTTATACATATATATATACATAAGGTGTGTGTCAGCGGTGGTTATACATATAAATATATAGTACGTTTGTGTGTGTCACGGGTTGGTTATACATAAATATACACATAAGGTGTGTTTCAGGGGTGGTTATACATATAAATATTTATATATATATAGGGTGTGTAAGGGGTTGGTAATTCATATAATATATATTAGGTGTGTGTTAGGAGTTGGTAATTCATATAAACGTATACAATAGATTAGGTGTGTGTGTGATAGGGGGTGGTTATACATATAAATATATAGTATGTGTGTGTGTGTCAAATGGTGGTTATACATATAAATATATACTATGTGTGTGTGTGTCAGGCGATGATAATACATATAAATATATATTATGTGTGTGTGTCAGGGGGTGGCTATACATATACATATATATATTGTGTGTGGGTGTCAGGGGGTGGTTATACATATAAATATATTAGGTGTGTATGTCAGGGGATGGTAATACATATAAATATGGGCATCGGGAGACAACTCGCATTCGTCGTCTGCTTCGCTGTTTACAAAATGGCAAAACGTTTCGCTTCGCATACTGATGAGGAAATACTCGCAAAAAGGGCTTACTATGTGCCACATAACACACAAAAGTCGAACAGAGGAGCGGCAAACATGCTGAGAACGTATTTAAAAGAAAAGAATCAGGAAGAACAGTTCGAGGAATTTGATAAAACGAAACTAAATGAGGTACTGTGCCTGTTATTTTTCTTTGCTTTTATTATAAAAGACTCAAAGGGGTAATAAATTCGTTACACGGATTTTTGGCAGGGTATACGGGATGGTATGACCCTACATGATTTCGTATTTCCTTCGGCCTATCGGCCTCAGGCAATACGAAATCCTTAAGGGTCATACCATCCCGTACACCCTGCCAAAAATCAGTGTAACTTATAATATTAGGTGTGTATGTCAGGGGATGTAAATACATATAAATATATATAATGTGTGTGTCGGGGGTTGGTAATTAATATCAATATATTATATAAAGTGTGTGTCAGGGTTTGGTAATAGATATAAATGTATATTATGTGTGTGGGTCAGGAGATGGTAATACATGTAAATAAATATTAGTTGTTAGTGTCACGGAATGATGATACACATAAATATATCAGGTGTGTGTCAGGGGTGGTTATACATATAAATATATTTATATAGGGTGTGTAAGGGGTTGGTAATTCATATAATATATATTAGGTGTGTGTTAAGAGTTGGTAATTTATATAAATATATCAGGTGTGTGTCAGGAGATGGTAATTCATATAAATATATACAATAGATTTGGTGTGTGTGTGTTAGGGGGTGGTTATACATATAAATAAATAGTATGTGTGTGTGTGTCAGGCGATGGTAATACATATAAATATATATTATGTGTGTGTGTTAGGGGGTGGCTATACATATACATATATATATTGTGTGTGTGTGTGTCAGGGGGTGGTTATACATATACATATATAGTATGTGTGTGTGTGGCAGGCGATGGTAATACATATAAATATATAATGTGTGTGTGTGTGTGTGTGTGTCAGAGGTGGTTATACATAAAAATATATAGTATGTGTGTGTGTGTGTGTCAGGGGTGGTTATACATATAAATATATATATATAGGGTGTGTAAGGGGTTGGTAATCCATATAAATATATCAGTAGTGTGTCAGGGGAAGGTTATTTATATAAACATATACAATAGATTAGGTGTGTGTGTGTTAGGGGGTGGTAATACATATAAATATATATTATGTGTGTGTGTCAGGGGGTGGCTATACATATACATATAAATATTGTGTGTGTGTGTGTCAGGGGGTGGTAATACATATAAATATATAGTATGTGTGTGTGTGTCAGGGATGGTTATACATATACATATATTGTATGTGTGTGTTTGTGTTAGGCAGTGGTAATACATATAAAAATATAGTTTGTGTGTATGTGACAGCGGATGGTAATACATATAAATATAAAATATGTGTGTGTGTCAGAGGTGGTTATACATATAAATATATTGTATGTGTGTGTGTGTCAGGGGATGGTAATACATATAAATATATTAGGTGTGTATGTCAGGGGATGGTAATACATATAAATATATCAGGTGTGTGTCAGGGGTTGGTAATACATGTAAATATTTATTAACCCTTTGAGAAAAATCTGGGAATCTGATTGGTTAAAAACTACAGTGTACCAAACCGCATTCGTAAATCTCAGGGGGTATACGAAAATCTCAGGGGGTATACGGTTATGTCACGTGATTCTCAGCAGTAATACGGTGGAATCACGTGATTTTACAAGGGGTATACGTGTCACGTGTCTTTGTATCTTGCGACCGGGCATCGGGAGACAACTCGCATTCGTCGTCTGCTTCGCTGTTTACAAAATGGCAAAACGTTTCGCTTCGCATACTGATGAGGAAATACTCGCAAAAAGGGCTTACTATGTGCCACATAACA